GGAGGATCACCTAAGCCTGGGAGGTTGAGGCTGTGGTGAGACATGATTGCACCACTGCACTCCTGCCTGGGTGATGGAGTGAGACCCTGTCTCAAAAAAAAAAAAAAAAAAAAAAAAAAGAAAAAAAAAAAGAAAGAAAAGGCAAATAACACATTTCTGTTTTTTAGGATGTTTCTGTCAAATAGAACTGTTTGATACGCAAATAACTGGTTACAGAGCAATTTACTAAAAGCTATGATAGAGAGATGCTCCAGGGTTGTGTAAGATTAAATCATGGAAAAGAATTACCTTAAAGGCAACTTGCTACTACCTTCAAATATGCAAATTAGCATTTCCAAATAATGCTCTGAAGGATGATGACAGATATTACTAGGGAGATTCAAGTAAGAGTGGGAATATTGGATTAAAGTTAACCACTTGTGCCTCTAATACAGGATTTATCAGCGCCTTTAAAACTTGCTAATGTGTGCTGTGAATCTGTGTAGGGGGTTTTGGTAAGCATCATTGTCAAAACTTATTTGACCATAATGCTTTTTTTATTTTTATAAAATGGATCTTATAGAACTAGTTTTTACTGAGTAAACATTAAGAAATGATAATAAAAACTACAGCACAAAAGCAGACTGGGGTGAAATTTCTTCATAAAACATTTAGCTTAGGACTTATAAAATGACTTCTTGATGTTTAGAGGTGAGATTTTTTCTGAAAAAGTCAGGAATGGGATTCAGAGAGGTCTTTATTATGTTCCCATCTCCTATACTTCTCCTTCCTTTACCCTCCTATAGCTTCTTCAAGGACTCACTAAAATCCCACGCACGTGGGAAAGAGTTCATGGTCTAATCGGTGGAAGACTCCTGACAACTCTATTTCTTTAAAAAATTCTACATTAAGGAATGACAAACAACTGAAAATAAAGTTTATCATACTAGCAACTAGATCCTGGTCTCTAATACTATTCCCTGCAGAAAGGAATTAGGACTCCTCAACAAAATATTGATTCCATGGCATGGTTGAGGCAGGGTAGACACAAGGTTAGCTGGGAATACCTTGTTTTTCCAGAAAGTGAGAAAATGTTAAAAAAAAACAAAAAGAATGAGACATAGACGTATTACACAGACAGACACAGAAACAGCTAGAAGGGGTTCCCACTGGCCAAATCTAAGACAATCTGAGCACCAAGACAATTAGATAGAGTAATAAACTATTGAAAAAATAAAAATTTGTGAGTCCTTGCCAAAAATAGAGATAAATAAATAAGTGGGAAAAAAGGGAGATCTCTTGCCTACAGTAGAATCCCAAGTGCCTGCTGGTAAATATGGAGAAGGTACTGCAATTAGAAAATCAACATTTCACAACCTCATACTAAGGATTAGATTCAAAAAGAAACATCAATCCAGAGAGAAATTTCGATTAAGAGCAAGATATTTGCATGACATTAAAATGTGTCCCCACAGATTTCTTATAGTTGTAAGAGAAAAAGTGGTACTGATATAATAGTAACTATGTGGTTGGTATTATAGAATGTGATAGTTATATATAATTATAGACTTTGCGCATAGTTTTTATAATATAGCCATATAGATTACATAGTTCTTTATAATTCTATACAACATAGTTTTTACTTAATATTAATTATATAGTGGTGAAATAGTACAAATCTTGACCGTGTGATACAAACTAACATTACCAATGAAAGGAACGTGACTTCATGGGCCTCCAGGTATGAACACTTGAGAAGGACACATCCCTTATGTATCATTCCAGCCTGGAATGCATAAACTGAATTTATTCATGAGGAAACATCAGGCAAACACAAAATGAAGAATGTCTCAATGGGGAAAAAAGAGACAATTTTCTTCAAGTTTGTCAATGTCATAACAGACAAAGAAAGGTGGTGGAAATCCAACTACCTACCTACCTACCTACCTACCTACCTATCTACCTACTTACCTACTCTACCTACCTACCTACCTATCTATCTATCTATCTATCTATCTATCTATCTATCTATCTATCTAATCTATCTACCTGTCACACAGAAAATGAAGCATTTGAGTAAAATTTTAAGGATATGTGAATCATGTAAAAAGTATATATGTGGTTTTGTACTCCTTTTATTTTCATTTCAAGTAATGCTGTACCTGGCACATAGTATTGTGCACAAATGTTATTGTTACAATGAGTATTCAATGGACTAGTTGATTGAAGGAGTTTGCAGTTGAACTAGTTCAAAGAAGTTTAGAGGAAATAGGGTGTAAAGCCACTGGGTTGAATTAATTGTGTTTCTAAAGTCTCTTTCATTGTTATGATTTTTTGATTCTTTAAAGAAGAACTTTGTTTCTTTCTTTTTTTTTTTTTTACAGATGCAATTCTTTTTTTTTAATTATTTTTTATTATTATACTTTAAGTTCTAGGGTACATGTGCATAACGTGCAGGTTTGTTACATATGTATACTTGTGCCATGTTGCTGTGCTGCACCCATGCTTCTTTTGTTTTAATGTATATCAAAGTGCATTTCCAGCTCACGGTTGCGGAATAACTCCCAATGCAATCCCTCCCCCCTACCCCCTCCCCATGATAGGCCCCGGTGTGTGATGTCCCCCTTCCCGAGTCCAAGTGATCTCATTGTTCAGTTCCCACCTATGAGTGAGAACATGCGGTGTTTGGTTTTCTGTTCTTGCGATAGTTTGCTAAGAATGATGGTTTCCAGCTGCATCCATGTCCCTACAAAGGACACAAACTCATCCTTTTTTATGGCTGCATAGTATTCCATGGTGTATATGTGCCACATTTTCTTAATCCAGTCTGTCACTGATGGACATTTGGGTTGATTCCAAGTCTTTGCTATTGTGAATAGTGCCGCAATAAACATACGTATGCATGTGTCTTTATAGCAGCATGATTTATAATCCCTTGGGTATATACCCAGTAATGGGATGGCTGGGTCATATGGTACATCTAGTTCTAGATCCTTGAGGAATCGCCATACTGTTTTCCATAATGGTTGAACTAGTTTACAATCCCACCAACAGTGTAAAAGTGTTCCTATTTCTCCACATCCTCTCCAGCACCTGTTGTTTCCTGACTTTTTAATGATTGCCATTCTAACTGGTGTGAGATGGTATCTCATTGTGGTTTTGATTTGCATTTCTCTGATGGCCAGTGATGATGAGCATTTTTTCATGTGTCTGTTGGCTGTATGAATGTCTAAAGAAGAACTTTGTTTCTAATTTGAAAAGAAAATGATTGAATTTTTAACGACCTTTGCTCTAGTGCAATCTGTATTTATTTAATTTTTTAAAAGAAAGCAACACTATGACCCAACTGAAGATTATAGTTGATTTCCAGAAGGGCCTTTAAATTAAACAAAACTGAACATCACATGTTCTTTCCTACCAAACAAGACATGCTGTATCTGACTTTCAAATATAGCTAATAGTTCCTATACAAGAATTAAACCACACTGCCTTCTCTAACAGTGACATCTTCCTAGTTTCATATATCTAGCTTACATTGGTATAAAAATTGAGTTGTAAAGCATTTGTTTTGCCCTTGTACTTGATTCTCTGTTAAGGACCAGTTGCATTAATGAGCTCAATGTCATCTGCTCCTAAATAATGGAATGCAGACCCTCTTCTGGGTCTGGTAAACTTCCTCCATGTCAACCCGTTTGCCTGTTTGCTCCTTGGCACCTTTAACAAAACTGACCCCTGAGCTTATCAACTTCAGTTTTTTTCTGCAGAGATTTCTCAGTCCTGCAACGTTCTTTTGCTCCAATATTCTGCTTGAGGAATTTTTTGAAATGCTCTCCTGGAGATGGAATGGAAAGAAATCATGCTTTGGAGTCAGGCAGGGTTGTATATAACACAGCATCCTGTTTTTACCACATTCTTGCTGTGTGTGCAACAGGGCAAGCAGCACGGTATTAACGTTAGGGGTGAGGTCTCTGAGGGCAGATTGCCAGGGTTAAAATCTTGTTTAGTGAACCTCTTTGTTGGGCAGGTAGTTTTACTTCTTTCTGTGTCGGTTTTCTTATCATTTAATGAGAATATTAGAGTTTACCCCATTGAATTGCAGCGAAAGTTAAACGATACAATTATGTGAAATAATTAGAACAGTGCCTGACACATTAGCCAGCACCTTTTCAAGTTTCAGCATTTTTTAAAATAAAAAATTGAGCATCAAGCTTATTTTATATTTTAAAGTAAGGATTATATAAGATACTGCAAGTAAAGAATCCAGTCTTATGCCTGGTTCGTTAGTACACATTCATTCATTTATTGAAAATGTGTTTATAGGCTTCCTATGCTAGACTTCCAACATTTTAAGGGCTGGACATTTAGAGAATTTAGAGAAGTTTCAGGCATACTACAGTCTGTGGTCTTCTGATTTGTGAAAGAAAAAAAAAAAGTTACTGTTGTTATAACAGATAAGGACTGAGAACAGACCAAATCTACACATCTTAGTCAAATCATGTTTGTTTTTCTTATCTTCCATCTTCACTTCTGAGGATATCTAATTTCTCTTTGATTCAGAGTTTAGAATCCCATTTTCTGTCCCACAAACAGTATTTGAATGTATCTAACTCAACGTTGAGCTAATAAGGATAACGAACATTCTGGGGCCATTTTGAAGTTTGCAAAGGGCTTTCATGTGCGGTTTCTCCCTTGGTGCACCCCTGATGCGGTGAGGGACAGCTGCAGGCCCATTATCTTCATGAAAGCTCCCACGGAAACATATCTGCTACATGTTCTTAGTGATTAGTGAAATAAAAAATTTGAAAGTAAAAATATTCCTGTCTCTTTTCTTCAAAAAGCAAACAGATTCTAGAATAGGCAAGGACTAGAGCTGGAGGAGGAAAATTGGCAATTTTTTTTCTTTGCATAATTTTTCTGACAAAACAAAAAGATTTTGACATCATTTTTATGACAAACTGTACCCATATCTTTGGAATTTTTGCAAATTTAGCATCAATCATGTACATTTTTCCAGTCATTTTCATTGAAATTTCTTTCTATTTATCTTGTTGGCAAAGTGAAAAGCAATTTTTGTTTGCTAACGCTGCCTTTTCCCTCGCTGCATAAAAAAGTGGTGATGATAAAAAGAGGGGGGTTTTTCTTATCTTCTGCAGGGAAGCCCCCAGTGTTCTCATTTGTATGTACAGTCTATCATTGCTGTTTTAGCCTATTTTCATTTTATTTATAGCTTTGAATCACTTATTATTTGCTTGGAAAGAATTTGCCTAGAACTCTTAATTGGTACACATAGCAATTAAAACTTTATTACTTAAATATTTTTCAGAACAGGAAAGAAAAGGTACCCAAATCAGCATAATCAATTTAGCCATAAAACCCTAAGTCTGACTTTTTATTTTATTTATGATACGCATTTTGTTCTAATGCTTTGTAAGTAGCATAGCTGTTCTTTCTAGTTCTACATAAATGAGATTCATGCCTAATGTGCCTCCAATTTTCAAAAACAATCCTTCAAATACAGTTTTAACTTGCCATTAAGACTGTGTCTACCCATCATAAAATGAATGTTTGGGAAGGAATTACTGGCGCATGCAGGGTGTTAGTTTTTTAATATGAGAATCAGTTCTGCCCTGCAAGTCTTTTCATCACAACTTTCCTGTAGAGAAGTGGATTTTGCTGTTTTTAGGAGGTATTTCCAGACAAAAGTCACATCAAGTCTATTCCCCATTGATTTAACTTTAGCAGTCTTTGTTGTAGACAAAATTTTACAGATAGATAAAAAAAGATTTAAAAAATAAATGTAATGGTTTGGAAATGTTTATTCAGTGTAGGCAGAGCATCTGTTGGTACCTTATATCCCTTGGGAAGATTTCTGAAAGACTATAATGAATAAAATGGAAAAAGTTGGAAATTTATAGCAACCCAAAAACTATTCAAAGAATGATGAAAATTACTCTGAAAAGTTCTGATGAGTAAGTAGTCAGCAAGCAAGCACACACACACACACACACGCACACATATGAAGGACTGAAAATGAGTCCAGCACTGTGCTAGGCACTTTTACTTGCATTATCTCATTTATTGCCCTCTCTGCTCCACAGAATTCCACTGAAAAAGGTGTTATTAGTACCCATTTTTAAAGCGGAGAAAGCAAATAACATATATAAAATCATTTAAAAACTTATAAGTTAGATTGTACATAAAAAAAGCTCAGAGAAAGAAAGAGATGAGAGAAGAGAGAGATTAGTGGCTTTACTGAGGGCTGAAGATGTCAGAACAGAAAGATCTTACACAGCCTGGAAAGATGATGGCAATTTGAGAACCTGCTCACCTTCTCCTTTATGGTAGCTCACTTCCCCTCCTTCATCTCTGGCGACTGAGATATATGTTTTTATAAACTTCCAAACTCTAAATTATAAGAATTGTCAAGGCTGTTTTCTACTTTCTAGGACTATGGATTTAAACTTGGAAGGGCTTCAATCAATTCTTTATCTCAGTAAAAGAAAAGTGTTTTTGTAACAGGAAATGAAGGGATTTATCTGTAAGCTTACAGAAAAGATTGAAAACCAGCACTGAAATCCCATGAGAGACAGGAGTTCTCCTTAGTTCTCGGTTGGCTCACATGGTAAGTTTCATTTTGAGGGAGAGAAACAGAAGGGTACACAAGGATGCATCCCGAATGCTCATCTACCTTATCCATTCCATCCTCAAGGCTTTGGTACAAGTTAGGGATGATTATGCTCACACACAGACAAAAAAAAAAATAAGGAAGAAAGAGGATGAGTAACCTACCACCAATCAGGTAGAAAGGAAGAGAAGAAATTAGAGGCAAGCCCAGATTTGTCTTATGCAGTGTCTATGAATTTCCCATTCAGTTCTGTCAACTGGATAATAGCCATTGACAATGACCTGGACACTATATGGCAAAGCAAATAATCTGCATCTTATTATTTTACACCTTATTGCTCTTTACAAATGATGACAGAAAAATAAAAGTTTATATCAGTTAAGTTTTGCTGTCATGTAGCCTCAGTTCTTATGACAAATATTAAGGACCCCATGGAAATCAGCAGGAAGCACTCTTCTTTCCATGCCAAGATGATGTGCTTGACTTGTCAGTGTGCTAAGTACTTTGAATTTGAAGATTGGAGCCTATATGCCAGGTTTCAGATTTTGGCAATGAGTGAGTGAATCATTAATTTCTATTTATGAATGTAGGACAGGCAATTTTATTGCTTGCTCAACATCCTTTCTCCCATCTTCCTTTCTAACAGAGCTCCACATTTGTTCAGAATGATAATGTACTTTGCCACCCAGGATCTGATTTGGATCACAATTGGTCAAAGCCGACGGTGATAATTATTTTCTTGCCTTCTCAGTCTTTATGGCATAAGGGGTGGCTGCACATCTCAGTCCTGCCAATGGAATTTAAGGAGTCTATTAACATTGTTTCCAGAAAAGCTTTTCTCTTTCTGATTAAAGCACCCAGGTATGTCTGGCTGTCACTTTCCACAACTTTTCCTGTTTTAAATGCAGATGTAGTACCTGGAGCTGTGCAGCTGGTTTGTAACTATAAGTTGATGAACAGAGATGTTGGGCCTGGCACCATGGAGCTGTTGAAGACACACCAAAAAAACAGTCTATCTTTTGACTTCTATTTTTTCGTGTGGAACAAAACTATTTTGTTAAAATGTTATAGTTGAATGTAGTTGAATGCTTTGTTACTTGCAGCTAAATACATTCCTAATAAGTAAAGGAGAGATTATAACTATAATCTTATTATAACTGTCTATATTAGCTACTAACTGAATATATTATATTTAGGAAATAATAATTATGGTAATCTAAATTATTAACCCAGTTTTCTCCAAAATAATGTAAATTGGTTTAATATGGGTAACTGAAAACATACAATATGGTAAATGATGAAATAAATAAATGTCAAATAGGTGAGTGTGACAGAGAATTATTGAAAATGTACTGTATTTTATTTTAGAAATAAAATCTGCTGTGTGTATTCACTTTTGTGGTTATTTCTCCCCCTTTTATCATGGCTTCCCATACCTATAAAAAAATGAGTTCACACTAATTATCTGCAAATGGGACTCATCGCTACAGTGAAATCGAGTCTCTCCTCGATCCTAATCCAAATTTAACTGTAACCTAAATGATACCTGACAGAAATATGCAGAGGTCACAGAGTCCCTGCCTGTCAGAGACATTAATCAAACAAATGTCATTTGTGCAGTTCAGTAGCTTTATATAAGAAAATTTAACTTAAACCTTATAAAACAGTAAGATTAAATGAAAATACATACAATGAATTTAGAATAAAAAGGCAAAACTCTAGAGATCCAGGTTACTAAATTATTATTTTAAAAATCTGGCTGTAAGACATACAGGCCATTTTGGTCTCCTGGTTCTTCTACACTGGCATTTTTAATCAGAACAATTTTCTCCTCAGTTGTCTCTTTTTCATTCTTTAAGATAATCATTACCAGTAGGTTAGTAGTTCTAATTTTTCTATGAATTGATACTTCTGAGAACACAAAATCATTTTGATAATTCTGAGAATATAAATCATTTTGTGGCATTCAAGTGAAAATATCTTCAACTTGTTTTTGTTTTTCACACAAGAAAAGAAAGTAAGTAAATGTGAAGGGCTGCTTTCTATAGCCATTCCTATTCAGGGACTCATTTGTTACGTTCTTGCTTTAGTAAGTTTTATTTTTGTTTATTTGTTTCCTTTTTCCTTTAAAGGTATCGATGAGAAAAATAAATGATGTTCAGAAGTGAAGCAAAATAAATTTTATGGACTCCAAAAGCCTTTCCAGGTGTCCAGATAAAGTACCTGGAAATGCTCATATAATTTGAGTTCAAAGCATCAATTAAATCATCCACTATTCTACAAAATAAATTTCATCTGGGGTGCATTTTGTTACCCAGATTGTGAAGAACTTATTATAAAGCCACACTTTCATTTTCAAGTCCCTTATTCATGCTAAGTCTTTTGTTTTTCTCTATTCAATAAAAGAGACGTAAGCAGACATTTTCCAAATTTTTTATTAGAACATTTATTTTTTCAGGAATCATGATGGGATTTGATGAATTAAGGAACAGAACAAAAAATCCCATGTTACTAATTTGTATATGACAGCAGGTGGTTGGGTTCAAGTGAACAACAAGCACACACAGAAGTCAAATCAGAAAAGCTTCCTTATTTGGCTAAGTGAATTATCTCCAGGATCATACGTTAAAACATAGAAAAGCACTCCTTTTCTATCTTTGATAGCCTCAAAGGAGTGAAAAATAATTTTCCTTTTTAAACATCCTTGACACTTCCCACAAAGTCTTAGCGTCCCCACGGTGAGGTCCTCACAGGTGGTTCACAGAGAATGAGATTACATAATTAAGACTTTGGGAAGCAGGGGTCACTGCAAACCCACACTGGATGAACAAACAGAGGCTGGGATTTGAGCAAAAAAAAAAACTGAATCTTTTCATTTAATTCATTACTAAACCACAAAGAACGTTATTCTCAGTTTACATACACTGTAGTCTGTGACATAAAATAAGATTTTGCAGCAATTTTCAGAAAGTTATTTTTGTGTGCATGCACATGTGTGCACATCATTGTATATGCATACATGTTCACATGTTTGTTCACATGGGGAGAACTGTCATCATTGTTCACCTGCCCCACACAAAAATGTTTATCTAAAATGCTCTGGGGATTAAATGCATAGTTTAATGATTGAAGGCATTTCTATATTAGATATCTTCCTTGATTGGCTCTGACAGTTAAATTTGAAAATTATTCAATAGATAAGTAGATTAAAGATACTTAAGAATGTCCTAATTACCCAAACAGCATTTGAAAAAAAGAAAAGGAGTCTTGAATATGACACTGAACCAAAAGTGTTTGACAACTCATTTTAACTATCTTTCAGATAAAGAATAAATTCAAGGATTCAGTCACTTGTGCTTACAGGGGAACATATGGCATGTTCTGTTGGAGGACGGAGTAACCCTCAATGTACCAGCCAGATTTTTAGTTAGTTATTACAGCCTCTTCATCTAAGGCTCCCTGTGGTCTTCACTTCCCAAGTGACGGGGCTGAATGAAGAGATGATTGTGCATAAAGTGGTTTGTGATCTTCCTAAGGGAAAGACTTGATAAAACATGGGCTCTTCTTAGGATACAGCAGATGTGCAGACCACAGCAAAAGCCCTATTCGTTAGAACGACTCAGCCATGAATCAAGCATTGTCACATTTTCATCTGGGCAGGCGGTCACTGGGGAAGCAGGAGGAAGGGAATAGTAGGAGGGGCACACAGTCTCCCCAGGCCATTTATATCAGGCCTGGAGTGAGGGGAGCTGTAATAATCCAGGTATCGTCTTAACTTTTTATTACACACCAAATATTAAAATAGCAGGGTCAAGAGGAAAAAGCTCAACTGTGATTTCAGCTTGGTAAGCAGCATTGCACTCACTGGTTAGGATGAGAGATGTACAAGCTGCTCACACGACTGCTAATATTTATCCTTAGCAGCAAAGGAATTCTGGTCAGGAAACAAAGACCAGCACAGGGCAGCATGCAACTGAGAGCTGTATTGAGAAACACAGGCTGAGTGCTCCAAATGGTTTTCAGGAAGTCATGAAGGAGCCTGGCATCAGGGGAAAATGCTCACACTGGCTTTTCTTCCATTCCAGGCAGATGGGAAAGTGGCTGTTCTCAATTTTATGTCCTCCTTTAGGGACACAGGGCTACCTGGCAAATTCAGGAAGTGATTTTCCTTTTAAGAGGCTTCTTCAGGGCTATTTATTCCATTTATTCACCCAGCAAGTAGTTGTAGAGTTCCGACTTTGTGCACAGCTCTGTGATCACTGTGAGAGGCACACACAGGCCTGCCCTCATGGAGTTCATAATCAAGGCAGAGAAAGCAAGATCAGGAAAGCAAGAGCATGTGAGCTATGTGGAGGTGCAGGGAGGAAGATATATGCTGGAAGGGCGCTCCAAGGAGAACATCTGATCGACCCTAAGGGCTCTGTGTAAACATTCCTTGGTTCCTTGCAGAGTTGCAGCCCTCATGTCAGCATTTTCCAGAGTGAGCTGGAGCTTGGCAGCAGCCCACACATCTGCTGCATTGCAGGAATAGCTAGAGGTTTATAAAGCTGTTTCTTTAGGAAGATCACAGCCCTTGACTTCTAATATCCACCTAGGCTTTCAGGGGTCAGGAGAAAAATCCTCCCCCTGTGTTTTCACAAGCCATAGGAAAATGAAATGCTCCACTACTCCCCTGACATAGGAACAACAAAGCATTGAGACATTCACTTATAAAGAAAAAAAGGACAGAATCAAGATGATGCTGTAGATAACACAATGTTTCATCATTTGCATGAGGTCTGAAATATCCCCAGGCCTGACTACAGACTAGTGTGACACCTTGAAAACAGATTCACACAACCCACAATAGAAACAGAGAATAAGGAAATTCCAGTGTTTTCTCTTTTTTTAATGGAATGAAATTTTATTTAACATTTGCCTGAGTAGTTTTATTTATCTGTAGCATTGAGTTTCTGGAAGAAGTTCTCATATTGAAGGTTGCTGTTATGGCTTTATCAGCTAATCCTCTCTCTCTCTCTCTCTCTCTCTCTCTGTGTGTGTGTGTGTGTGTGTGTGTGTGTTAATTTATATGATAGCAATAATGAAAAAGAGGAATGGAATGTTAATACACACCAGCTCCCAAGAGAGAAAGGAAGCGCTGCAAATACACACAGTGGCATCAAAGCAACATTTCTTTTGAACTAAATAATGCAAATTAGGTTTCCCTCTATCCATCTCCCTTTTCATTGAAATATATTTTCAAAAGTAATGAAATATGGGTTGTCCTTTTCTTACTAAAAACTAGGCCTTGCTAAGCAAAATCAAGTTTTTGAGGCTGTCAACACATGTTACAAATGATGAAATTTTTCTGCAAGCACGTTAAATTAGAATGTAGAAGATCCTAGCTAATTTGTGTAGCTCAAGCTTCTAAATGTGCGCTTTGTCATCTTTCCTTGTCATGGAAGCAAATCTGTATTGACTGTCCTATCCCACACTCTCATGCAGTCAGTTTTCATCAGCCGGTCAGCTGTGGGCCTTGTACACACCCCTACATTCCCTTTGTTGTGTTGTTTCCTGCAGGCTTGTCTCACTTTCCCTCCCCTTCTCTTGTCTCCCTGTTCGTATTCTCCATGAGTTTATTTTCCATTTGGAATCTATCTTATCTCCTCAACAGGAGTATTGATCCTCTGTTATATAGAACACCTGCTTCCTGGTGTCCCCTCTTCACTGTCACAAAGACTATTATTTCATGTGGTCACTTTTGATTATTCCAATGTTGACTGCAGTTTTCCCAGCTGATGCCATGTAGGCTTCTCATATATCAAGAACATCCAGACGGCTCCCTGATCTTTTGCTGTGGCCAGATGATTGACTCAAAGGCTTGGACTGAAAGATAAAAAGCAGTGAAATTGGTGTATTAATAGAAACATTACTTTTAGGGTGGGGACAAGGGTGGGGAACAAATAAACAAATAATGAAACAGGACTTTTGCATATTGCCAAAAAGAGAATGGGGAGACATAGTTTCAGGTTTGGGTATACAGCAAGTCTTGAAGGCTTGCCCATAGAGAGGACTTTGATGAATGGCTCTCCACTTCCCACCCCCCATCCAAACCTGTCGTGGTAAGAAAGTGAGGTGCTATTGCTCTCTTAGCAGGCTGGGAGACCAGGCCACCACAATTATTGTTAAAAACGTAGGGTTATTTCAGGAAGGTAGAACATATGCTGACCATATGAAATACATTTTTCATTTTTAGGAAGATCTTATCTGGAGAATGTTGCTTTTGATGAAGGAAACTAGGTAAAAATTATCTTGCTACTCAGAAAAATGTTTTAGGTAAA